CTTCGTGTGCAGCATTTAGGAGAATGTAAATGTCTTTTAAAGCATCTTTTTCCTGATGCAATTTTGAAGATTGTGTAAATAGAAAAATTTACTGGATCCATTAACTTCGAGAGTGCCCATCAGTTGCTTCCACTTGAATAACGTAGGGGAAAATACACAATTTAATTCATGCTGAAAAATCGATAAAAAAGCAAAGTCATAGGAAATGGCCAAGGGTCTAAACAATAACGTGAGAAAGTTAAAACGTTATGTGCAGCAAAAACCGGGAAAAAGACGTCTAAGGCAAAAAATTTGGGAAGGCACGAACAACTCGTACCTTACGATACCTGAAGACAGCCTACATACGGCGGTTTAAACCCAACCTATGTAAACAGCTGGAGCATGTAGTGAACCTAACTCTGCCGTGGTAACACCAGCTCCCTTATTTCACATTTTTCTCCAGAATTTTGTTTGCCTTAGACGTCTTTTCCCGTTTTTGCTGCCCACAGCGTTTAAACTTTCTTAGGTTATCGATTTACCCCTTAACAGTCTGCTATGACCTTGCTGTTTGTATCGATTTTTCTGTATGAATTCATTTTTTTAGTTTCCCTTACGTTATTTAGGTTAGGTGATGAGAGGAAGCAACTGATTTTCACCCTCGAAATAAATGGATCCAATAAATTTTGCTGTTTACATAATCCTCAAAAATGATAATGTCCAGAAAATAAGTATAAAACAGAGTTCTTGCGCATTCCGTATCGGAAGTGTTTTTAGAGTTAGAGAAGGTATTAAAACTTGATTCAATACAAATTCAATACAAATACCATCGCGTGTATTTCAGTTTTGTGAGTCTTATTGAACTAAATTATATGCCACGTGCATGACTAGACCTGATATCATTTTCGCTCTGTGAAATCTAGCTGTGGAATTTGCTAGGAATTTGACCAGTACAGCCAAAGAAGTGTCACCCCCGGAGTGCCTGCCTAAGCCTCGTCTCTATGCTCATATTTGAATAAAAGCCGACTTGGCTTCAAAGAAAACTCATATTTTGAACAAAAAAGTCCAGCTCACTCTCAATCAAACTTACTAAATTCAGCCTAATTAATATGTATTTTTCATGACCAATAAAATACTGTCTGATTTTCAGGTATTAAGTACATTATTTTAGGCACATAAACACCTACCACATTTTATTCATCTGAACTAAGCTTCACAAAACTTTCGAACAAATGCAAAGTTATCTTAAATAACGACTGGTACTTTCAGTTGTACTAACAAAACATGGCTTATATAATTTGTTTCAATAAAATTTGTATTGTGGATGGGCGGTCAGGGCTCGGCTACAGAACTCACTTGTTCCGTACTCTCTTGGGTATAGCTGCCTGATGACGGCTATTAAGCCAGAAATGGTTATTCCAGTCTCCCTTTTCTTAGTCGGTAATATTTTTCCTTATTAAACTGATATTTGGAATATGCTAATGTAAACAGTCAAGATACAGAAAGGCGTCTTCATGATACTGTCCACCGCTTCTGCCTCAGCCGCATATTCTTTATACAAAGGCGTTTTAACAGTTCAAAGCGGACGCATAAGCTGACTGTCAGTATCGAAAACCAACGTCGTAGGCAATTAATTTCGTCCGGCAAGGGAACACAGGAGGGTTCTATGACACTCATTTGGCAAAGAATCTGCTATATTCGAATTCACTATGCAAACTCCTCTTGCCTAGTCATCTCCTAAGGTGTGAATTCTGCCTATTTTTATTGCTGCACTTTTAACATCTGTAATGGGAGTCACGTTTAGACCCCCTCCAAAACGGAGCCAAAGCATGCGCGATTACCATCAAAAGAAAGATCGCTTGCACGACACCACTGGCCCCCGCTTTTATACCTAACAAGAAATCCCAAGTGCGTAGTCGATGTCGTGATAAACGCACATATCGTAGGCAGA